CCAGCCTCTCTACAATGTCCTTTCAGGTAGTTGTAGAGAGTAATGAAGTCTCCCCTCAGCCTCCTCTTCTTCAAACTAAACAGCCCCAGCTTCTTCAGTCATTTTTCATAAGATTTATTTTCTAGGCCCTTCACCAGCTTTGCTGCCCTCCTCTGTACTCGCTCGAGCACCTCAACATCCCTCTTGTATTGAGGTGCCCCAAACTGAATGATACTCAACATGAGGCCTGAATACAGGGGAACAATCACCTCCCTGCTCCTGCTGGTCACACTGTTTCTAATACAAGCCAGGATGCCACTGGTTTTCTTGGCCACCTGGGCACACTGCTGGCTCAGCCACCCGCTGATTAGAATCCCCAGGTCCCTTTTTGCCAGACAGCTCTCCTGCCACACTTCCCTAAGCCTGTAGCATTGCCTGGGGTTGCTGTGGCCAAAGTGCGGGATCTGGCACTTGGCCTTGTTGAAGCTCATCCCATTAACCTTGGCCTATTGATCCAATCCAGCCAAGTGTCTCTGCAGAGCCTCCCTATCTTTGTGCAGATCAACACACCCACCCAACTTGGTGTCATCTGCGAACTTACTGATGATACACTCTATGTCCTTATCGAGATCATCAATAAAGATGTTGAACAGAAATGGTCCCAACACTGAGCCCTGAGGAACACCACTTGCGGCTGGCTGCCAGCTGAATTTAACTCCATTGATGACCACTCTTTGGGCCCATCTGTCCAACCAGTGCTTTATCCAGCAGATTGTATGCTCATCCAGGCCATGAGCTGCCAGGTTTTTTATGAGTATTCTATGTGGAACAGTGTTGAATGCTTTTCGAAAGTCTAGATAGACGATATCCACTACCTTTCCCTCATCCAATAATCAGGTCATCTTGTCATAGAAGGAGATCAGGTTTTTCACGCAGGACTTGCCTTTCACAAATCCATGCTGACTGGGCCTGATCACCTGGTATTAATCTCCTTTTCCTGCTTCTTAGTTAATATAAAGTCTTCTAGTTTATGGTTGACTATGCAAACACGATGCATGCTGACATTGCCTTTCTCCAATCATTTTATGCTCCCTTTAGGGAAGATGCTTTTACCGAGGCTCATGGAGCACGAAGAGGAGTACAAAAAGTAATGGTTATTGTGACTGATGGGGAATCACATGACAACTACAGATTAAAAGAAGTGATTGATAGCTGTGAAGATGAAAACATTCAAAGATTTGCCATTGCTGTAAGTGAAATTTAATGGGAAAATGCAGAATCTTAAAAGCGTGTTTCATCTTCCAAATGTAATTTCTGTGTAAAAAGTTCATTTCACAGAATCTCTATGGAAATATAATCATTTCAGAGAGGAAAAAAAGAAACAAGCTGAAAAAAAAATTAAAAATTTGCTTTCTGCATTTATAGCTCATAAGAAAAAGCAATCTATCTGTCTTCCTGGTGGTAAAAGGTGTGTGTACATGTGAATAAAAAGGAGAAAGAGTCTGAGGGATAGTATAAACTCAAAATTCTTTTTGTTAAGACCAATAATGAGCAGAGTGGATTAGTTCAGATCTTCTGACTAATTTCTACAGATGCATTAACTACTTTAAAAAAACCCAAACAAATATAAACAAATATAAACTATCATCAAAATATAGGTTTATTATGGCTGTTCTGTGTGCTGGCATTCAAAAAATGTCATTTTCATTATTAGCTGAATGAAAGGATGAACGTGGTGGAGGTTCACTCATATCAAGAAATATGGAATTTTTAACGATAGATTGTGTGTGAACTCTCTCCTGTATCTGTGTATTCTATAGCTGAATCATCTAGTTTTTCTCATTAATTTTGAAGATTGTTGCTTCTCCATTCCTATCTTTGGTTTTGTTTTTGAGGTGATATGGAGGCATGAAACTTCAAGAAAGATGTTAGCTTTGATTTAAAGAAAGACATGAGAAAATTTGAATCCAGTATGACACAAATTTTCAGTGGTTTCCTTGTAAAGCTAGAGATCACTAAAGAAAAAGTCATCCTTGAAACTGCAATAATTTTAACAATAAAATCCCTGTCTAGAACCAGATTCGAATTGCTCCAATGTCCAGGAATGCTAGAACATGCGAGTTTGTTTTCTTTTACTTCCCTCTTGAAGAAAGTTAAATCTCTAGAGCACTGCTTTCTGTGAAAAATTCTTGGTCTTGGAATTGCATTGTTTTGTTCTGTGGCATCCTGTGCTGTTAAAACTGCAAATGAAACCTAAAGTCTTGTATTATGATGAAGTTGTTAACACTGAAAGCTGTTGTTGTTAATATGAATTTACAGGGCAAATCTGAACACAAAAATAAGGAATATTAATTAAAATGTCATTAATTGCTTACATACCACGTTATGAGGAGAATGGTTGTACCTGTGCAGAAGACAGTGCAATTGTTTATTCTGGTTTGGGTGTTGTTATGTTGGGTTTTTTTCCTAAATTAAGGCCTAATTCAAGAGATCATAAAATAATAGAATAAATAATTAGAATTTTATGAAGAAGGGGAAAAAATAGTTGAGGAGAGCACATATTTCACTATACAGTTTCTTCGTTTGCTATTGTTCGTATTTTCAGAAAAACAACTGAGCCCTCATACAGTTCTCTTCTCCTTGGAAAAAAAATGGTTTCAAATAAATTTGAGGGAGATTTTAATGGAACAAATTAAGGTTAGATATGATTTCCAATATTTTTTGACAACCTCAAAGGTATCTTTTAAAACAAGTTATATAATGTATCCTTGACTTCTTTTTTTTAAAATTCTCTTTAGATTCTGGGCAGCTATAGCAGAGGAAATTTAAGCACTGAGAAATTTGTGGAGGAAATAAAATCAATTGCCAGTAAGCCTACTGAAAAGCATTTCTTCAATGTCTCAGATGAATTAGCTCTTTTAACTATTGTTGAAGCACTTGGAGAGAGAATATTTGCCCTGGAAGGTATGACATGATTTAAAATTTTGCTTCATGCCTGCATTACAACTGAAGCAAAATAGGAGACCACTGCTTTTATCTTTCTTTGCAATGTATTGTGCTGCATAAAATGTATTATGTAGGTATTTTTTTCATGCTGATCATAAAGATATTTTACAATAGACATCAATAACACGCATAATGTTGTGAAATATATTCAGAGGATTTAGATCCTTTAGTAGTCTAAAACGATAAGTAACCATTACTGTTTTAGCTGGGGTAAACATGAAGTTGCATTCTCTTATGTAAAAAAGCATTACCAGACAATATCCTGATTACCCAGTGATCATGTGTTCATGTGCCTATAACTTTAGGTTCTCTTTTTGGTTAGTTATTAATTAAAGCATATTACTTTGATATACAAGTTAACATGCACTTGGTGTATTGAGTTGAAAAGATACACTTCTCCTTTGGAAATGTTCATGATGCTCAGATTTTAGCACAGCAAAGTGATTCTCTCATAATGTCTGCTTACATTCTCCATCAAAATTAGGTGACATTGTCCAAATCTCTGTTTGCTTCAAGTGCATTACTTTTAACAGAAGACTAAATTATACTATAAATTATGCTGGTCAAGCCTGAAGGGTTTCCTGTCATACAAAGAAAGCATCCATCTCTCTGGACTTATTTTTTTTCAATGTCTCAACTTTCCAAGTAGCTGTAATAGTGTAGTTTACATCTGGAACAAAAACTAATTTTGACTCATGTCAAGAAATAGTACACATGTGAGACAGTACTTTAAAGTTTTTTAAATTGGAGCTGTATTTCTCAGATATATTTTGGGGGATTTTTTAACATATCATTAAGCTTGATCAAATATTACTATTTTCAGGTGATTATTACTAAATATTGTTTCCAGCTTATATGTTCTTTTTCCTTTCTAGAAGATTTTGTTTTCTCACTTTTGAAACAAATTAATCTGAGGAGAATTTATTCTCTCTAATGCCCAAAGTTTAGCCTACTTAAGCTCAGTGACTATGTCAAAGCTCATTAAATAGGGAGTCTTTTGTTAAGTCCCTATTTACTAGAAAGAGTTCACTTTGAGTGGGAAAATATTTGTCCAAACAGATATTGAAAACATAGTCTTCAATTTGTGCTTTGTACTTCTAGAAAAGTGAGAATAATCATTGTCTTTCAAAGTTACACCTATTAATTAGAATGAATATAGAATAAAAAGTTAATCAACTGCTAGTCATGACAACAGATGAAGGATATAAGACCTAATATGACTGAGTTTCTGGACATCAGTATAATCAAATTCAAGGTTTCATGCCATAGCTCAGCCCTTTGAACAACTAGATGCCACTGGAAGAGACAAACTGTGGAATGGATTTTGTTGTCTTGAACTCCCTTGCTGGTGGGAAGCGCTTTATATCATGAGCTCTAACTCTTCCATTGACTTCAGTAATTCATTCCTCTAATCACAAGAAAAAAATTACAACACATTTGAACATTAAACAAGTTCTCAAGTTAAGTAAAATATCCAAACAAATGTAGTTATGCTGACAGTGGTGAAACTGTTTGATGAACATATTAAACAAAAGTGGACCAAGTACTGAAAGATATCAGATTAGTCAGGCAAGATTTCCCCTTAGTAAATCCATGTTGGCTACTCCTGATAATCTTCTTTTCTTCCATTTGGTTAGAGATGTTTCTTCAGAATGAACTGCTCCATCATCTTCCCAGGGATGGAGGTGAGGCTGACTGGTCTGTAGTTGCCAGGGTCCTCCTTCTTGCCCTTTGCGAAGACTGGAGTGACATTGGCTTTCTTCCAGTCCTCGGGCACGTCTCCTGTTCTCCATAATTTTTCTCCGTAATTTTTCAAAAATGATGGAGAGCAGCTCATCCGCAACATCTGCCAGCTCTCTCAGCACACATGGACGCACCCTATTAGGGCCTATGGATTTGTGAGTTTTCAGTTTCCCTAAGAGATCTCTAACCCAGTCCTCACTGAGCAGTGGAGAGTCTTCCTTACTCCCGTTTTGCTCCCTTAATTCCAGTGACTGGAATTCCTGAGGTCTGGTCTTAGGAATAAAGATTGAGGCAAAGAAGGCATTAAGCAATTCTGCCATCTCTGCATCCTCTTATACCATATCTCCCGCCTCATTTAGCAGTGGAACTAGTTTTTCCCTACTCTTCCTTTTTTCACTGATGTATTTGAAGAAGTTTTTCTTGTTTTCTTTCACCTCCCTAGCCAGACTGAATTCCCAGAGAGGCTTGGCCTTTCTTGTTGAGTCTCTACATATTCCAGCAGCATTTCTACAATCCTCCCAATTAACCACACCCTTTTTCCACATATTGTAAATTTCGTTCTTCCATATGAGTTTTTCTAGGAGCTCCTTGCTTATCCATGCAGGTCTCCTGCCTTCTCTATTTTTTTGTTTGGGTTTTTTTTTCAAGAGAATACATTTATCTTGAGCTTGGTTGAAGTAGAGTTTGAATATTGACCAGGTCTCTTGTGCTCCCCTACCTTCTAGAGCCCTAGCTCACACAATACTTCTAAAGAGATCTTTGAAGAGGACAAAATTAGGCCTTTTAAGTCCAGGGTAAAAATTTTATTTATTACCCTTCTTCTTTCCATAACAATACTAAACTCTAACATGTCACGGTTGCTGTAGCCAAGATTGTCCCCAACCTTAACATCTGCGACTAGACGCTTTTTGTTTGTTCATTCAAGGTTTAGCATCACACCTCTCCTCGTTAGTTCTTCAGCCACCTCCAGCAGAAAGTTGTCATCAAAGTACTGAAGGAATCTTTTAGACTGATTATGCTTGGCTGTGGGATTTTTCCAGTTAATAGCAGGGTGACTGAAGTCACCAATGAGCACCAGGGCACATGATCTTGAGGCTGCTTCCAGCTGCCTGTAGAAGGCCTCATCAACAACTTCTATTTTATATAGAACTTCTTCTATTTTTAGGTAGACTTGGCTGTATTACAAAAAAGATATATTTGAAATGAAAAATATCAAAAATTATGGAACATATGGAACTCATGAGGTTCAATAAGGTCAAGTGCAAGGTCCTGCACCCAGCTAAGTGCAAGGTCTTGCACCTGGGTCTGGACAATCTGTATTATCAGTCCAGGCTAGAGAATAGCCCTGCGGAAAAGGACTTGGGGGTACTGGTGGATGAAAAGCTTGACATGAGCCAACAAAGCATGCTCACAACCCAGAAGGCCAGTCGTATCCTGGGATGAATCAAAAGCAACGTGACCAGCAGATTGAGAGAGGTGATTCTGCCCCTCTGCTCTGCTCTGGTGAGACCTCACCTGGAGCACTGTGTCCAGATGTGGAGCCGTCAACACAAGAAGAACTTGGACCTGTTGGAGCAAGTCCAGAGGGGAGCCAGAAAAAGCATCAGAGGACTGGAACACTTCTCTTGTGAAGAAAGGCTGAGAGTGTTGTGGTTGTTCAGCCTGGAGAAGAGAAGGCTCTGGGGAGACCTTATAGCGACCTCCCAGTACCTGAAGAGGGCCTACAGGAAAGCTGAGGAGGGAGTGTTTACAGGGTGTGTAGCAGCAGAACAAGGGGCAATGGTATTAAGCTAGAGCACAGACGATTTATATTAGATGTTAGGAAGAAGTTCTTTACTACGAGGGTGGTGAAACACTGGCACAGGTTGCCCAGAGAGATGGTGGAGGCCCCATCCCTGGAGACATTAAAGGTCAGGCTTGATGAGGCTCTGAGCAACCTGATCAAGTTAAAGATGTCTCTGCTCACTGCAAGGGAGTTGGACTAGATGACCTTTAAAGGTCCTCTCCTCCCCTCCCCTCCCCTCCCCTCCCCTCATCCACGCCATAAGACATGAGATGGGTAATCTCACCACTCCCCACATGCTCTGGATTTACAGATTTTCAGTATGTGCTCAAAGATACGTTAAGATTTATATATGACACCTGTAATATGAGACAAATATTACCTTCTCTTGTCAGTGGAAGTTCCAGAAATCACATAATCTAGAAGCAAGGGAGTCAGAATAGAAATCAAAAATAGGATTTTAACTTTTTGTCAGAGCATAGCAAGGTTGAGCTGCTCCAATAGGTTAAAGCTAGATGATACTGACTAAATCCCTTCCTGTATATTCTTCAGGTATCATCCCTGTCCCCTCTCAAAGCATTTCAGGAGCTGTTCTAGATTTTGCAACTCTGTTCATGCATGGATTTTGCCAGCAGGGGAGAAAAGCAGATTGATTCTGTCCCACACAGATTTTTGGTGACAATCCACTTTATTGGATATGTATGATGTGGAAAAGATTAATTAACCCCCTACACTGTAGCTGAATTAACTTCTGTGCATAACATGGAAGTCACAGAAATCTTGATTCCTGAATTTCTGTATCTGAATGTGTTTAAATTCTCAATCTAAACAGCCTCTTGCTACTATAGTAGTGCATTGATACTTTTTTTTGTCTTGGATTTCTTGTTTTCTTTTTGATTTTGGCATTCCAAAAAATGCAAAGGAAAACTGAGAGAGTAAAAAAATCAAATCCAACAAAACCTCATACTTGACAGCCAGTGGATTTTTACACATAATCTTCTTCATATGCCTCTGCGTCTCATGGCATTGACTTCTAGTTTTAACAGCAATTTTAGGTTTTATTCAACCCGTAGGCAGGCACAAATATTTTTTCACAAAATATTCTTTATATGATGCTTGGCAGCTTGAAACTCAGTGGAAAGTTAGCCTGGGGCTGTTATCTAAGCAGTATTTGGAGCTGCACGCAGTAACAGTACCAACATTGTCCTCTGCCTCAGACTGTGACGATCATGTCTTTCTCGGATCAGTAAAGGAGCATCTTTTACTGCGTGAAAATATTGTTTGTTAGCAAGTGTGCAGCTTAAGAGTTTTATACTTAAAAAGGACTTTTTCAGTCTTAGCAAAGCAGCCACATCTTTTGAAACATGATAGCCTATGTCTGTGTGTCAAACATTTTGTGTTTGAGATCATGTCTCCTTCCTATGACTGGTTATAAATCCCAGCAATTAGCAAAGACATCATGTCCCAGGGAGCAACCTCTGTGGTTTAGTTGCTGAGTATCAAAAGTTCAGTATTATTTAATAGTCTGGATGCCTGAAATTTGTGCAGTCATGGCTTGCTATGCCTCAGTTTCATTCACACAGTTGGAGGTTCTCCTCAGCACTTAGCAGGTAGTAAATTGTGTACTCTTCCTGGACAAGTATCAGAAGAGATGTCTTAGATCCCCTCTACTGCCTGTTAATGTATCTTCCTCTCAAGAAGGAATCAATATGCAGAATACAGTTACCTTACTTGGTCACTTAAGGTGTCAAAACAATCCTTGAGTATTGCTTTTAAGTGGACGAAGAGGCAGACCTTTCTCTCCACTTTCTCTCCACATATTTCAAGTGTACCTGGGAGGAAAGCAGACTACTGGAGTTTAATAATCAGCATACAGCTACCTGACAAGGTAGTACTGAATCACCTGATACCTTTTTTATTCAAAGTCTCTTAACAGAATCTGGAAAATTTTTGCGTAACTTTCTGAGCAGGATTATAGTTCAAAACCCCTTCCCTCAGGCTTATGAGTCTTGGACAGCTGAGATCCTCCTATGTTGTTTTTTGCAAAGGCTCGTACAAACCTCAAGTGTTTTTCATTTAAAGTTCTTCCAGCTGCCTACAAATTTTTAGTTGTTTGAATACAAGGCCAGGGTTACATGGTTGGTGTTTTATTGTTTGCTTAGCTCAAGTGGAAAGTGGCTTAACCATATTAATCAAACATTCCAAACATATTTACCATCAGCCTGAGGTTAAATTTGGTCAGTTTTAGCCCAGAAATATTTGTTGGACAAGTTCTGAGACATGATCTTAATATGGAAACTTTTGTACTTAATGGTAGCATTTAACACAGATCTTAATTTCTGTATTTATTATGAAATTCTATGGCAAACTATATTGATTGAATATTCTAGTTCAATACACTATCCTCTGCTGTCATATGAGCATTTTTATGAGCATATTCAGATACTTTTTAAGATTGAATCTAATGTATTTTTGAAATTTAATTTGTTCTGTTTAATAGCAACAACAGACCAGCAGGCAGCCTCATTTGAAATGGAAATGTCTCAAGCTGGTTTCAGTGCTCATTATTCTCAGGTAAACAAACTGTTTGAAAATAGAAATTCTTCTACAACATAGATATTTCTTGGTGCTGGCATGAATTTGAAAGGAGCATTGCAGAATTCCTTTACCTTCAGAAGGTTTGGAGTTTCCTGTAATCCGTGGGATTTTTTTGTAGAATGTATGTAAAGAATGATTATAAACAATGAAATCTCACATGAACTCATGTTCCTATAGGCTATCAGGAGATGAAGAAAGACAGAGGAAGACCCTTTAACAGGGACTACAGTGGCAGGACAAGGGGTAGTGGTTTTAAACTGAAAAACGGTAGATTTAGACTGGATATAAGGAAGAAACTTTTTATGACAGGGATGGTGAGAGACTTGCCCAAAGAAGATGTAAAAGACCCCTCTCTAGAAGTGTTCCAGGCCAGGCTGGATGAGGCTTTGAGCAACCTCATCTAGTGAGAGGTGTCCCTGCCCTTGGCAGGGGCACTGGAACTAGATGACCTTTAAGGTCCCTTCCAACTCAAACCACTCTGACTCTATGATGTAATAAACTATTTTCTATAAACATTAATGTATAAATTGATACTGCATTATAGTGGTGAAGTAGAAACAGAAGATATATAAAAAGGATATTTCTGTCATGGATATGATCTGCATTATTAGTAAGACAACATATTCCTAGTTCTGTTAACACACTGAACACCTTAGTTCTCAGAGGGTAAATATTTACTAAACTTGGATGCAAAAATTCCTGGGAATCTTTATAAGCAGAAATTTTATGTATTCTTGAAAAATCAAGAAGTATCCATTGTGATGATCTGCTTAGTGTACACAAATGAAATTAGAATATAACATGAGATCAAAATAACTGGGAAAATTTAAGTCTTAAAGATACAAAAAACTAGTGACAGTGGAAAAGGGTAGGTGAGTACTTGAAGTGAACAAACTCCAAGCAATCCAAGACAAACTTGAATGCACTTTTAACAAGAAGTGGGAGACATACTGTGATTGTAGGGGGCATACTGTAATAGGAAAAGCCAGGCTAAATGTGCAGGTATCAGGACGCGTTACCCAAAGATGGGCATCATGATCAATGAATGTCTAAAGATGGTTCACATAGAGAATAGGCTTTTTGTTTTTCTCTGCATAAGGACTGGATCATGCTTGGAGCAGTTGGAGCATATGACTGGAATGGCACAGTGCTCATGATAAAGGATGGTGATGCGTCAATGCCAACTAATGACACTTTTCGAGACAGGCGTTCAGAAAAAAATGAACCCCTTGCAGCCTACCTAGGTAAGAGAAATAGCAATCAACACTTTTCAACAAATGCAGTAAGACCTCTCTTAAAAAATCTCGTTCAGAAAGCATATCTTAGAGAATATTATATTCTAGGAGCCTTGTCAAGTTTGTGATGTAGATAGACATGTCCATTATATGATTTTCTTGTTCTTTTTAAAAGAACAATTGCTACTTCTGCAATCAAAATCTAGTCCAAACACTTACATACCTACGTATATCTAAACTTTCCCTGATAGAGTTGTCTAACCTGCTCAGAGATTTCACAGATTCCTGTAAGTATTCTTATCAAGTTTTTTCTATGCCTTGATAGTTAAAAAGTTTTATACAATATTCAGGTTAAATTTTTGCTTCAAATTAAGCTGATTTCTGTCACTCAATGGACAAGAACAACAGTTTAACACTATCTTTTTTGTAATAATATTTGGCAAGCTATTGTTTTCCTCTCAGCCTTTTGTACAGAAAAGCATTAGTGGCTTTACTCTCTTCTCTAGGTCTTACTACATACATGTCATTGTTATGTTTGCTTTGTTATCTCATTTAAGACACATTTTCACTGACGAAGAATCAACACTATGATTTTTTTTTTCCCTAAACACACTGTTCATTCTCTCTGCAGATTGTCATTATCCATTTTCTTTCATATCTCAAAGTTGTTTCAATTTAGATCTTACCCTCCATAATACTTGCAACCTTGCCAGAGTTCTGATTAATCAGCAAATTTTTGAAGTCTTTCTGCACCCAAGTTGATAACTGTTGTTAATATTCAACAGAGCTAGGTCTAAAATGCCCATAAAATTGCATTTGGAAGACTCCATCAGTTTGATTGTGAACTGGTGACAACTGTTCTTTGAAGGTTCCTTTCCAACCAGTTATTCACGAGTTATTTCATCAGTACCATCGTATTCTTACACTATGTGAGAATGGCAAAACAAACATGACTCATTAGCCTGCGAACAGGTTTAATAATACAGTGGTGCTCATGACTCTGAGATTGTAAGGAAATACACATCCCAGGTCTTTTAATTAACTCTGCTATTATTCTCTAGCAAAAGTATAGCTACTTGTAGAATAAGTCTTAAAATGGCTCTGAATCACAGCAAGTATTTCTGATGCATTCTGTGTTTACTACATATTAACTGCTTTTCTGCCTCTTAGGTTATACTGTGAATTCAGCATTGACACCTGGAGGCATACTGTACATAGCTGGACAGCCACGATACAATCACACTGGCCAAGTTATCATTTATAAAATGGAAGGAAAAGAGGTACAAGTACTTCAGAGGTTAAATGGAGAACAAGTAAGTATGCATTCGTGATTAACATACGAGTGGACCATGGTGTGGGAAATAGAAATAATGATTTCAAACGAGAACTCTGTATCAGAAGAGCAAATTAAACTGGGATTTGCAGTCAAGAACAGAAGGAAAGGTTAGGTAGGTGCTCTGGTAATGGAAAGTGAACTCTATGGTCATCAGACACTTGGAAATTTTCTCTTTGAGGGTTAAACCTTTACTAATGTCAGAGTGGTTGTAGCCATTTTTGTACTTGGAATTTTATCTGTCTGCTGAGTTGAAAGGGCATGTCAGTGGCAGGAAATCAGTGTAACAAGCAGGGGTCTGTGGGAGAGTACCATCTGGGATAGCATGAAATAATGAAAAGCTGCTTGTTAATATTGAGTAGCAGCTAACTTGAGAGCTATTTCTGCAGGAAAAAAAACAATATATAATCACATAATTGAAGATAGTGGTATAATATTACACACATGTGGGTTGAAAGACCTGCCTAATTGGATCTCCCCAGGCTGCAGTACAAGCCTCTTTCAGGAGAATTCAGGTTACCGAATTTTCATCTATAGATGATTTCTGCAGCTCAGCTGACCAATCAGTCCTTTTAGAGTCAATGAAAGAAAGGAGGCATTTTTAAGGTTTGAGGGTTGCAGCCTACTTGAAACATCTTCTGTGAGATGAGATGTATCATGCAGTAGAAGAGACTGCTTCTCATGCTGAGCATCAAGGAAATGTGGGGTGTCTAGCTTAGCTGTGAAGTGAATGTAATCAGATGAATCCTACACCATGTACCCAGTGTATGAATATGTTCTTAGTGTAGAACTTGTTCCCCTGCATTTAGTGGCAACTTGAAAATTTTGGAGACTGTTGTGTCTCGAATGTTTTTTCACAGGCAAGAGTGAGACCGTTGATTTTGCTCCTTCTATGTATTACTGGTAGGACTGAAGGGAAAACTAGCTTCCTCAAGACACTTCTATTCAAACACTGTTTTAAGAAGACCTACTCCTCTTAGGACATAAAAGACACTATTTATACCTTTCAAACTTAGGAAAGTTGAAAGTTGAATGGTCAATTCTTAATTTAAAAAAATCTGACAACAAACCCTAAAACAGAAAACAAGCTTCAAAGGCAAACAGACTACAAAGATCTTCAGGTTAGCAAAGAAAATTTCTGCCTAGTGATTAACATTTGGCCTTGTAAGCAACTATAAAACAGGTCTTTGAAAAGGAAATGTTGCATGATGTAGCTGAGTCTGCCTCTGATTTATACCTTGTATTTTCCTGCAGATTGGGTCCTACTTTGGGGGTGTTATTACCACAATTGACATCAATAAAGACTCATTTACAGACCTTCTTCTTGTTGGAGCTCCTATGTATATGGGAACCGAAAAAGAGGAGCAAGGGAAAGTATACGTTTATAGTCTGAACAAGGTAAGTATGATATTTATTGACAGGGAACAAGACATGCTCCTTACCATCTTCATATACTTCTTTTAAAGAAAGAAAATAATTTGCTCTGAGGAAGATAAAAGCAGAGAAACATGATTTTGACAATTGAAAGCCTAGTACAAATTATTTCTGAAAATATTCTGAAACTCTTATTTTCTAACTTTTTTTTTTCTAACAGAGTATATTGTATTGGTAAACACTATATCCTGTAAGCTGCAGTATGGCATTGGTGTGATTTACAGGATTTTTTTTCTATCACCTTTTCTTTTTTGCTTTCACAGATTAGGGAACAATAGGGCTCATCCATCCTAAATGTGTGTCTTGCAGTATCCTTGTGACTTTGTTACCAGCCTAGACCTAAACCCCATACATCCAACAGCTTTTAAAAATGTTACAACTAGATTGACAAATGTGTCAGCTACACCTCAGCTTCTAAAATTGATAAGTCTCTTCTTCCAAAGTCAATACATACTTTTTCTTCTTTTTTTTTCTTTTCTTTTAGTCCAGTACCATTGTCTATCATTATAAGAATTATCAAAATAATTCCTAGCAATGACAGTCTCCTAAAATACTGCTTCAAGAAAGCAAAAGAAACGACTGGATCTATCTGACAAGGAACTTTTTCAGAAAATTTCTATATGCATGTCGCTAACGACAAATTGTTTGGGAATAGGGCTGGTGAGAAAAGAAGATTTCTATATCCTCCAATAATGCGAGAGTATGAAAATTGTTTTTCCTGTGCTTCCTTTCATCCATCTCCAAAAAAAAGGAGATGCAGCAACCACTTGCTGCTGCTAATATCTAACATGGGACGAATCTCTTGGAAGGATCATTTATATACCATACTTTATCCATGGTTTTGGTCTAGAATGCTAACTAGATGAGAAGAACCGTCTCTAATCAGTTAGAAGAAACGAAGTTTATCAGGAGTAGCCGCCATGGATTTACCAAGGGGAAATCTTGCCTGACTAATCTGATATCTTTCTGTGAGGGTGCGACCAAATGGGGTTGAAGAAGGGAGACCAGTGGATGTCATATACCTTGACTCCAGTAAAGATTTCGACACTGTCTCCCATAACATCCTCGTAGGTAAACTCAAGAAATGTGGGATAGATGATTGGACCATAAGGGGGATTGTGAACTGGCTCAGCAACAGAGGGTTGTGATCAGCGGCCCAGGGTCAAGTTGGAGGCCTGTGGCCAGTGG